CGCGAGTCTCCTCCGTCACGCGGGGACAGTGTAGGGGTGAAAGGTGAAGTGGGCGGGGCTGCTGGAGCGCGCGGTAAGGCCCACCACAGTGCCCTGCGTGCGCGGGGAAAGGGCGGCGGATCAGGAAGTGATGTAAAAAAGGTGCTCCGCTGTGGAGATCCATGGGAATTGAAGTTCAATTCAGTGAAACTAGACTCTACCCCGCCCATTTTCTGAATTGGAGACCCTTGTCATTTTTTTCCCCTCGAAGTCCCAAGGAGGCTTTTTGGGACTGCCCTGGAACTTGCTGCAGACTGTCATCCTGCCTCTGCTTCCCTAGTGCTGGGACTACGGGCGTCCGCCACCACGCCCAGTTTAAATGACTCATTTTAGGGGCACTGGAGATTGAATTTAGACCCTCATACATGCTAGGACGCGCTCCATTATTGAGCATCACCTACAGCTCTCTTTTTATTTTTTATTCTGAGACAGCTCATTCTAAGATGTCCAAGATAGTCTTGGATTTACAATAATCTCTACTAAATCAGACCACAGCGTCCTTACTCAGGCAGTAAAGTCCGAAACCTGAGTCCTCTGACTCGGAACAGAAAAGTGGAGACTCACTTCCCTCCTCCTGGGACTCAGTCCTCCTCTCTGACCCGTTCCTGAGGTCCATAGCGCACCTTATTACACAAGCCTCCGCAATCCTTCCCTCGCGCACTCATGCCCTCGAGCCCGGAATTCCGAGTCCCCAGACTCGGTCCTCCGGCCCCGAGCTCTCAGCTTCCCCAGGACCTAATCTAATAGCACGGAGCCCCTCCCGAAACCCCGTTCTCCCTAGGACCCGGTAATCCAAGTCTCCAACTCCATGCACTCGTAGGAACCAGTTGCCTGAGTCATCAACTGCCTCCTCCAAACCCGAGACCCTGGCTGTAGGGCCTTCTGGCCCCGGACTTCCCGAATAGGATGCGCTGGCTCATGGATTAGGAATGTGGTGATCTCACAGCCCGCCCGTCCGTCCCTGCCCCGTTACCCTGCTGTCCCCCTCCAGGGCCCCAGCTTCCCTCCCAGACTATCTTCCGTTTGGCTGGGACATGGGGAACCGGAAGCCTGAGTCCCTTGTCGAGGCAAGACTCCAGCTTGTAGACCAACGCCGGGGCAGAAAGCTGGCGACGATCCCAGGAAGGAGGCGGAGCTTCTCTTCCGAGACCTGAGCTTCCTAAAAGCGCCCTATATACGGCCCTGAAACCTCGAGCCCCACCTACCAGAAATACCCAGGGGTGGTCCTTAGATAACCACTACCTCTGGTGTCCTCATTTGCATATGTCCGCCCTGCAAGAACTTCTCGCCCTAACATGGGGCTTTATTAACATAGCTCCTCCCAAAGGTGGACTGTCTGAAAGGAGCACGTGGCTGGGCTACGGGTGGGCACTGATCTATATTAGCATATCCCCGCCCCCTTGGAGTTCCGGTCTTTGCCAACTTGTTTCCCCTACTCTTACTTATTAATATAGCTCCTCCCTTTCCCTGGCCTCGCCTTCTCCCGGAGCATCGGGAGACGCGCATCCTGCAGTCCGGAGCTCATGTTTATGCAGTTCTTATTAGCATAACCCACGCCTTGGTTTCTCCTGACTCCCCCCCAGGCGGTGGCGACAGCGGCGGCAGCGGTGGCGACATGAGCAGCGGGGCGGCGTCCGGGACTGGGCGGGGGCGGCCCCGGGGCGGGGGGCCGGGACCCAGGGACCCCCCGCCCGGCGAGACTCACAAGCTGGTGGTCGTGGGCGGCGGCGGCGTGGATGAGAGCGCGCTGACCATCCAGTTCATCCAGGTAGTGGGCCCTCACCGGGGAGGGTGTCCCCAAGAACGAGAATTTGAGCCCTTTGGGGGTTCCCTGGAACTCTTAACTTCTCCCAGAGCCATCACTGAGACTCTTCTAAGAGGGTCTCTAATCCTAAAAGATCCCTGCAGATCGCTACTCAAAGTGCCCAAGGCCTCCACCCCCTTCATGCGGAGAGCTTTCTCCTAATACGTCCCGAGGCAGATCACCCTCCCTGAGGTACCTGAGAGTCCTGAGAGCGGACCTGGCCCTGCTTACCCTAAATTCTAAATAATTGCTCCATTCAGATCCTAAGCGTGAGGCCCTGACACCTGAACCTTGCCTGCCCGAAGTCCCAGCTTATTAACCTCTTAACCACCCAAGAGCCCGACTTGGCCCAGCAGCTGTGCTCTGTACTTTTGACATTCCCACAGCTGGAGCCCTAGTCCCTCTATTCAGGGAGCATCTCCCAAACTTTGGAAAATTTTGCCCAGACGTTGGTTCTAGATAGGACTCTGTAACCCCTGCTGAAGATTTCCCCTCAGACCTTAGGAAGATCCTGCCATTCTAGGAAAACACCAATATCTGGCAGTATCTTATTCTGCTAAATGCAGACCCTCACTCTCCCACCCCACCCCAACCCAAGGAAAATCTACCATTTTTCTACTCTAAGATCTTCACTCCACTCCAACTCCCTGCCCTCACCTCTGGAAATCCTGGGTAGCTCCCAGGTCACCTCCAGGTTAAAAACAAAACCAAAAAAAGAAACCTCAGGTTTTCCACAACCTCCAAAGACCAGCTACTTGGAAGATTCTAGGACCCATAAATGCACCACTACATCATAAACCTACCCTCCAAGCGTGCTCCAGGCTGTTCTCACCTTTGAGCATCTCCTATAGTCTCCCCCACACAAACCAAGCCTCATCCTCACCAGGCTCTGCTCCTTCACCCTTCCAGCCCCAGCCCTCAACAAACACCCTCTAGAGAGGAAGCCACCTTCAGTCCCAGCAGCCAAGTTCTGAAAATCCAGCCCAGCCCCGGAAACCTCCACCCAGTTCCCACAGGGAGGCCCCCCCCCCCCAACACCATCCCCACACTGGTCAGGGCAACACTAGGAAGGTGAGAGCCCACTCGCTGCAGTAGAGGTTCCTGGGTGACAGACATACACACACGAGGCACCTCCAGCAATGCCTGTGAGAAGCCTACAGCGGAAGAAGAGCCCAAATTTGAGCCCTTGGCACTCAGGGCCAAACCCAGAGCTGGCCAGAGGTCTGGCTGGAGGCAGCAGGACCCAGGCAGGAAGGGAGGGGCAGGTTGAGGGTGGGGCAGACTCTTCTAAGCAGCATTGGAACCTAGACCTTCCCCAGGGAGGAGACACTGGCTGCTCACAGAGGAAGGAGTGGAGGAGGGAAGAAGGAAGGGGGAGGAAGGGAAGAAAGAGAGACAGGCAAGATAGGCAGCTGCTTTGGTCAACTAGAGGTCTCAGAACCTGATCATTGACTATCACCAGGCCAAGCGTTAAGTGTTGAGGAGAGAATTCCTGCAAATCAAACACTGTCAGATGTATAGTGTGTTCATCCTTTCTCCAAATGAGGAAACTGAGACTCAGAGAGGGAAAGTGATTTGTTTGGAGTGACTTTGCAGCTGGGAGTGATCATGGCAAAGGAAGATACTTTACACTGAAGAAAGCAGAGGCCCCAAGAGAGAGAACAACGGGATTGGTAACAGGGATCCATGACCTGGGGACAGTCAGTCAGAAAGATGGAATCAGAATAGCCAGGCAGGGCAGAGAGTCAGCGAGATGGAGAGGGAAAGAGATGGGACAGCCAGGCCCAGATAGAGACAGACGACACGGACAGCAGTGGGGAGAGACAGGTACACTGAGACAAGGGGGAGGGATGGGCCCAGAGAACGAGAGGAGACAGAGACCGAGAGAGAGAGAGACCCAGAGTGGGACAGAGACTGAGGGCAAGATCTAGGGACAGGGCTCACAGGCACACACATACACACACACAAAATGCTTTGATGACAGTGACCTCTCTCTGTCCTCCAGTCCTACTTCGTGTCTGACTACGACCCCACCATTGAGGACTCCTACACAAAGATCTGCACTGTGGATGGCATCCCTGCACGGCTGGACAGTGAGGATGGCTGGGCTTGGATGGGAGGCAGATAGCAGGGCTGAGAGAACCTATGAGCATCCCCAGGGCAGCCTAGGACCCACATATTCCTCTCCCTGTCTCACAGTTCTGGACACTGCTGGTCAAGAGGAATTTGGTGCCATGCGGGAGCAGTACATGCGTGCTGGCAACGGCTTCCTGCTGGTGTTTGCAATTAATGACAGGCAGAGGTGAGGGGGAGCACTGGTGCACCGGACTGAGCACACGACAGGTTCCTCCCAGAGGCAGCCTCTCACTACTGGCTTCTCTTGCAGCTTCAATGAGGTGGGCAAGCTATTCACGCAGATCCTCAGAGTCAAGGACCGTGACGATTTCCCCGTTGTGCTAGTTGGGAACAAGGCAGATCTGGAGACACAGCGCCAGGTTTGAGATGTCCCCTTACCTGATGACCCCATTTGGACCTGGGAGGCTCTTGCAGGGAAACCTCTCCTACACTGGGTCTTCTGCACTGAGTCACACCCCCAGCCACTCATTGGGAAATTCTAGGCAGGTGCTTTATCACTGAGTTACTCCCTTAGCACTCACTGGAAGAGTCTAGGCAGAGGTTCCACCACTGCACCACAGTCCCGACCCTTACACTAATCCTTTGCTACTACTGTTCCCTAGCTGGCGTGTGCTTCCCTCTCCTGACCAAGAACACCCTTACTGCTTGCCTGCCTGCCTCTTAGCTACCAAAAACATCTTCATAATCTTCCCGATGCCTCACTTAGAAAGCTTCCTCCCTCCAGT